ATCAACCCAAAGCCATGTATATAAACCCCAATTTTTCACAGTGTGTTTGCTTTCTCATGCCTGGGTTCCACATGTCCTGCAATTTGATGTTATGATTCATCACATGAGGTCATCGTTGGTTGATTGGCATTTTATGCTTGGCTTAGGCAGCCGGATGAAAATGATGCGATAAAGGGAAAGACAGAGGGCTGGAACAGGGCGGGTAATCCAAGAAGTCCCAGAGGGAACTGGACTCATATTAGTGAACAAGTTATCTAATAAAGGAGGGGACCACCTATGCAGTTGGGAGGATACAATATCTCATCCAGCAGTTAACATACAACATGTTCACAGGAAATTACTGGCACATAATGAGACAGAAGGAAAGAAACAATGTAATCAAAGGTTATATAAAGTGGAAAAAGGAAGTATTCAGACGTGATATTCAACCCATCTAAATACTGCTGCAGGGACATTGATCCTTAAAGCTTTTCTAATCAATATGTTTTAATAACAATGGATTAAACATCTGAATATAATGTGAATTAAACCCACAGAAAATGATCACTTGACTCTGCAGTTCCCCTCAGTTTTAAGCTGCATTTTAGCATCTTTCAACCTGTTTTGTGTGCAAAGGTAACTTCACTGTTGTTTCCAGAAGCAGCAGACAGCTGTTTTCAGCGAAAAAGCTCTAAAAAACCAGAGGACCTTCCAAGCCCTGACAAAAGTCAGACAAAGTTGGCAATTTTGTGAACAGTGGAGCTAAAGAGTCAGATAGTTAGGAGGAGGAGTTAATGGTGGAGGTAAAAGGAGAGTGAAAATTGGACTTATATTTGCTAGGGGGACAGAAACACAAGTCCGAAGTGCACAGAAGCAAAAAGAAGAGGAGGCAAATGGAAAAAAATTGAAAAACCTGAACAATGTGGTACTGACTGAAACAAAGTCACAATGGAAGTTTACTTTTTTAAAGATCGAAAGCTCTGACTACATTTTAATATCAATACAAACACCATGCACTAATTCTGTTAAATGGTCTCCCTCTGCACTATTGCTTTTGAGGTAATTCTTAACACATTAAGTGTTCAAGTAGATGCTGATTATTGGCTGCAGGGGAGTAGACGCACACAAACACAGAAAGATACTGTGAGACCATTCAGTAATTCGGTAGCACAGTCTGTAACCACAACAGCAGTATCATCTCCATAACAGTGGGGAGTGTGGAGTGTCATGCTGGACATGGTTTGACTTCTGCTCACTCTTTCATGCTGTTGATACATGCTCTGCCCTCCAGCAATATCAGCAGCTGTGTGTTTCTGAAAAATGAAAGTGAGATGTTCAGTCTCTCATATGGCTGTGAGATCATTTTGTCGCCACGATCTGGTTACAAAATCTCTTCCTGTGTTCTCTCTTTCAGCATCACTCTGATGTTTACTTGTGACATTAAAATGTCAGAGGCACTGGGGGAGAGGATGGGACATTGCAGGGGGCCTTATCTCCTGATTCCCACCAGTATAGAAGAAATGAGGAGTGCAGGGAACATTAGCATTCTTGAATTAGTTTGCAGGTCCAACAAATTTGGGTGATAGGGTATATTTTTTGTTTACATTGAATGCACTTTAGATAAAACATTCAACACAAGCAGTGCACTGTAGACTTCTGGCCCAAGAGATAAACACATAAAGGTCCTTATAAATTCACCGAGGCAATTTAATGGCAAGTTTATTTATTTAGCACCTGTCAAACACAGAAAAATAAGGTTTACATAAGGTTAAGAAACTATTAAAATAGAAAGAAAATTGATATAAAATGAAATAATACACAGGTTTAAAGCATGCTTCTTTAAAGTTTCAGTTCTCTTTTGGTGAAACAAGGTTGTGGCTGATTGACTCCCATTTTCTAAAGCCTACAATGTTTCTTTGAAAATACAGTATACAGTATGCTGTACAATATGTTTTTTTGACTATTGGATAGGCAACAAAAATTGACCACTGGGATCAATTAATATTGCAATTAAAGTATGGTATGTAAATTAATCTTTACCCCCAGGCAAACAAATGCCCCATACAGGACATCTTACCAGTGGCAGACTCGCAGCTTAATCCACTTGCCGGTAAGAGCAACATCAACTGATTAAGATTACTTCAGCAGTAATATTGGGGACTCAAAAACAAGATTATTTTTAATAAATGCAGCATAGGCCGAGATATCCTTGTTTTGGTAAATCTTCAAAGACCTGTTACTTGTTAGCATCATTCATTAGGTTTCCCTGCTCATTAAAAGCCCACGTCTTTTAAACGTTGTGTCCCCAGTCCCCAGTTTGTAAAAGTTGTAGTTTCCGAGCCCTGCTGACACAATTTGGGTTATTTCCTCAAACTTTACAAAGCTAATCCTGCAGAGTCAGAGTAGTACTCACTGTCACATTTGTGGAATTTCCCATTTAAGCCAAAATCAAAATTTACCCTGAAACATGAAGGGAACTTACATGATTGTTGCACCACCAAGCCCAAAACATCCATAGGTTATATTGTAGGGTTACTAAAAGTTAATCTGCTCCTGCCAGCCAATCAGAATTAAGAATTCTCAGTAGACACACTATGAAGGTAATGTAGATGTAATCAGTACAACTGACATCAGGTTTTGGCACGACGGGTTCATGCTGAAAATAGGCATAACATTTTCCCACAACCGTCCGTTTGTTCGAGCTGCACGGGAGCAATCTGGGTCAGTCGTGTTGTTGTGACCCTCCATGTGTCTGTGTTTTCAGCCTGAGGTATGAAGTATCTGAGCCGGTGCCTGACAGTGAGGCTGATATATGGAGCACTATTACCATCGTTCATAACCCCAACACACTAATTACAACCGCATGCTTGCAATGAGCACTGTCTGCTGCTTTGAACCCGGCGCTTTATGACATCACGATGGGGTCTGTCTGTGTGTGTGTGTGTGTGTGTGTGTGTGTGTGTGTGCAGAAGTGGAGGGGTAGGAGCATAAGTAGTTGAGTGAAGATTGACACCCCTGCCCCACCTCCCACTGATCTGATGACTTGACCTCAGACCCTCCATCTCCATAGCTGGAGAGATTAAAAAGCAAAGAATGACCAGAGGATAAGACGCGATGGCTCAAACAATTCATTCACATGTGATGAGTCAAACATCCAAAAACGTGTGAACATCATCCCATCATTTAGCATATCTGGCCAGTCAACATTCACATGCACACATTATTATATATCTGAATACTAACCAGTCCGTGTTGACACTCTGAAGTTGGAAGTCAGAGCATCTTTGTTGCGATAAGAATCGTTGCTCACAGTGATATTTACATTGCTGAGTGGCAAATGTCAGCCTCCTCTGGTAATACATTCCACACAGACACACACAGCTGGGATGCTGTTTTGCGGGTCGTCTTGGAGACGGCGGGGAATGAGAGAGAGATGGCGGGGAAGAAGGAGGGGAAACTGAAAGGGAGCGTGAGCTTCTCTTTCATCAGGTCACACACACACTGACATCCATTCAACTTGTTCGCCTCGTAAAAAAAAACGCCTGACATAACTGAAGACACAAAAATCTTGATCTTTCTTTGTTTCTCATTCCGTCCTCCTGTCACGTCAACGGACAGCGTTTATTGGCTTATTAGATCATTTTTTATGGGGCTTGTATTATATATAGCTTTTAGAAATCAAACCTCATTACCCTGACACTCTTAGACACATTTGGCCCTCTGCAGAGTTCACTGGGACCACTCATATGTCTTTTAGCTGGCAGTGTGTTGCATTTCTTAAATTTTTTTGTGATTTAAAAAAAAAATACTTATTTGATTTTAGCATGTGAAGCTCTTGTCCGTTCAGTAAAGCCTATAAATACAGGTTTGTTGGGTCTCCCTCTATACTTGAGCATGAACTGAAATCCAATATGACCAAGGAAATAACTTTTTTGTGGATAGAAAAAGTTCTGACATTCTGTCATTTTATAAAGAAATGTTCGATCACTAAGCTGTAAAAAGCCATGTGTGACTCGGTCATGACACCTGACCGATGCAGAGGAACAATGTTCTTGCCCAACCACCCTTTCAGTGACCTTTAAACCCTCACCCTGGGACACAAAAGTCAATGTCCCTTCAGTTTTCAGATTGTTAGATTTGAATCTGACTTCTGCTGTAGTAGGGGAATGACGGATTCCTGGAATATATTATTATTTTAGTTGTTATTATCCTAACATTATCTATAAACACTTAACAAATACAAGTCAGTTTCAGAGCATGATCCAGTACACTAGTGCAATGAAATGCCATTCAAAGATCTGTGACGCCATCTACTGTCTGTGTGGTGCATGAGTAAGTTATGGCAGCAGCACAACAGTATTTTAGTCTGATTTATGATGATTTACTGATGATTAATTAGATTGCAATGAAATCCATTCACCAAACATATTTCATTTTCATTCAGTTTTTAGCAACAGGCCATCACTCTGACAAACAGTTAACTCCAGTATACACTGTATACACAGTATATACTGTCATATCCATAAAGAAACCTTTCAGCATCTGTTGCACTCTGCATCATTTAACTATTGTCTACTGTCTTGAAATTTTAGTTTTTTGGTTTGTATATATATAACTGTACATAGTAGTTTATGTCTATTTAGTTGACCTTGTTATTTAGGCTTGTCTGTACATTGAGAGCAACATAAAACAGGAGTCAAATTCCTTGTATGTGTGCACATAGCTGGCTAATGAAAGTGATCCTGACGCTGATTCAGATTTTATTAAGATGATGAGAATCAAAGTCAATCACAAAGTCAAACTGACTCACAACTGCTGCAGGTTATTTCTGTACTTACATTTTATGAAATTATGAGAAGAAAAAAAAAGAAATTCTCTAAATCAAAAGAAAAATATCCAGTAGGCTACCTTGTTGTTCTCTGTAAAGTATTTTAATTTTATTATGCTGTTATTGGAAGTTATAACTTAATAACTGGGGCATATTTCTACTGCATGCAGCAAGTAGTCGCACATGCGCAGACCGCCGCCGACACCGGTAGTGACGCGAAAATGGCGTCCTCTGCTGCTCGGCTCACTACACGCTGGTTATCGGCATCAGTTTCGTCTGGACACCGTAGCGGTCGTTTTCTGAATGTCTCCGCAGGACATGCAGGAGTTAGTTCGGCGGCGATACCGCAGACGCACCGGGGAGGGACAGCGGTTAGCCTGAGCTCCTGGACACACCGAAAGGCCGTGACATTGACAGGTGAGACAGCTAGCTTCACTCTTAGCATAACATCCCTACTTCTTATATCAGCAGCCGTCTGGCTCTGTTCATAACGCCAGCAGTTTAGTTTGAATGCAGGAGCCCCGTGGTCCAGGCTTTGTGATGAGCAGTGTTAAGAGTTTGCAACCAACTAAAGGCTACAATAGTCCTCCAAGGCTGGTTAGCCTCGGTCCTTGGTATGATGCTGATACAGTTTTGAAGTATTACATCAGTAGCATTGACCTTGTTGTCACACCGCCTTTATGTCAGCATCATGTTCATGTCATTGCTGCCAGGACAATAAACAGGAGATTATATTCACCACAGAGTTAAAGTTTTAATGTAGTTCACCATTTGACAAGCATGTATGCAAAATTGTCCTTAACTAACTTCAGTGTTAAAGTCCTGCCACTTAACAGAGGGTTGTGAGACTCTGCTTGTGAACAGGGAAAGGTTATGTTTTGTTTAGTGTGCTTTACTGGGTATAAACACCACGGCACACTTGTTTAATGCAGTAGTATTCTTTGTGAGTATTATATTGTATTATATATAACTTTATGCTTCTTGCTGACAAGTTATGGACAATCCATAAATAGATGAGTGGAATATTTTTTTATTTTATTGATGATTTACTGCTATGATGAACAGCGAGATGTTGATATTATATTTCTTATTTATACAATATTCTTACATTTTTTCACATTTCTATTTACATATTTATATTATAATATATTATTTATTGTATGTACATCTTGTATAGTGTTATCAACAATAACATTACCATCATATCATCACCATCTTGCAACTACAACTTCTTTGCACCTTATCTCCCTATTTACCTTTTTTATCTTTTCTACCTCAGTTTTTTCTTCTATTGTAATTTTATTGTATTTAAATGTACCTGGCTGCTATGACGACCCAATTTCTCTTCAGGGATTAATAAAGTCTATCTATCTATCTATCTAGATTGCTTCTTTTCCAGCATCTGAGTGTGCAGTAGTACAGTAGATTTAAAAAATGCCCCTCTCCCATCCTTTTCTCTGCAGCCACTAGATGTCACCATGGCATTGCCTGCCGCTCTTTGCACACCAGCAGCAGGTTGGCAAACAAGCAGGACTTCTATGGAGTCTTGGGTGTCTCCCGCAGTGCCTCACAGAAGGACATAAAGAAGGCTTACTACCAGGTGAGAGACACACTTTGATGTGTCACACTATTGTGAAAATATCCGTTTGGATAGCTTTTAGGAAGAGGTTTACATTTTGATGCTTTCTCATTCTCCGCCCTCATCTTTCTTACCATTCTTTGTCTCTCTCAAGCTGGCAAAGAAGTACCACCCAGACACCAACCCTGATGACCCAGGGGCCAAAGAAAAGTTTGCCAAGCTGGCTGAAGCCTATGAGGTGCAAAAACAATTACATAAAATTGTCAAAGATAATCCATTTAATTCACTTTCCAGTTATATAAATGTGCGGCATTATCAAATTATATTACTCAAACCTGGATAGTAAACCTAAAATGTCCCTGCTCTGTTGTTTCTGTGTGAAGGTGCTGAGTGATGAGGTGAAGAGGAAGCAATATGACACATATGGAGAGGCAGGCTTCAACACAAATCGTGCTGGACAAGGCCAGCAGCATTACTACAGGGCTGGGGGGACGAATATAGACCCTGAGGAGCTCTTCAGGAAGATCTTTGGAGAGTTTACTGGAGGAATGGGCTTTGGAAACATCAACAACATGTTTGATCAAAGACCTGAGGTTACTGTAGCATCTATATATTACACTATTATGCGTCAAATCATTACACTGTACAATGTATGAAGTTACAAGCAATAAATGTAACAGGTTGTGGAAGTGTGAATGTGTACTTGTGATGAAGTATATCAATGTCTTCCGTCTTTTCCACAGTTTGTGATGGAACTCACGTTTTCAGAGGCAGCAAAGGGTGTGAAAAAAGAGCTGAGTGTGAACTTGGATGACATCTGCCCGAGGTGTGATGGAAAAGGCAGTGAGCCGGGCACCAAGGTGTCTCACTGTCAGTACTGCAACGGCACTGGCATGGTGAGAATCAGACCAACAGGTGGCAGCAGGGTCCTTTAACTCCTGGACCTCAGTCGGATTTCCTCTCAGGATTTCACCGCACTGTACCACTGTGCTTGTTAGTCAGTCATATTAATGTCTGTGCCCCCCCCGCAGGAGTCGATCAACACAGGTCCTTTCATGATGCGCTCCACCTGTCGACGCTGCAGTGGGAAGGGAACAATCATCACTACACCCTGCGCACTGTGCCGAGGGTCAGGCCAGATCAAGAAGAGGCAGACGGTCACTGTACCGGTACCTTCTGGTAGGTTCTCACAAGTGACTGATAAAAGTTCACAAATTCACAGATCTCACAATCAGGTTTATTGCCAACTAAGTTTTCACATACAAGTAATCTGCCTTGGTACATCAGTGCATAAGACTCACTATGAAGTTTAGGAAAATATAAATAAAGATAGAAAATAGAGGCAATAAAAAGGAGCCTCTATATGCAAATATAAAGAGTGAGAGAATATGTACAAAATGGCCGGATACTACTAAGTAGATACTTAAATAACAATGAATAAAATAGAAAAACCAACAGCAGTGCATTACTCTAATGCACAAGGAGGGTTTAAGAGTCAGTGTCAGTGGGGGTCCCTGGCCTTTTTATTGATGAACTATCCGTTTCAAAAAGAACACTGCAGAGATAGCCTCTATATATGTGTTTATGTTTATGCATGTAGGCAAATATAATATTTTTCTTGTGACGTTTTCTTACAGGAGTGGACAATGGTCAGACAGTGCGCATGGCAGTAGGGAACAGAGAAATCCTCATTACATTCAGGGTGAGTTTTTGAATTTAAGAAGTCATTGAATTCTAGCAATGTACTTGAGTCGCATAGATCCAATCACTTCTGGGTAGGATACCCCTGCGTAGCCAACATACAATATATGGATGCAACACGTTGACTATTTTTTTTTTCAAACACATCAATTTATCTAAAATGCATGTTTTATGCTTTCATATCTCATTTATAACAACACTTTCACAAACTATTGGTATTGTTATTTTGCAGCATACAAGCCAGACAGCCGTTGTAACTGGGTACACGAAATACACCAAGCGAGGACACAACTGGCAGAGTATCATAGTTTGGCTGGGCGTCCCACCGGCAGTTGGATGTCTTTTGATTTATCAAAGACACTAGCAAAGCAATACAGTACATAAAATAATCACAGCAGAAATGTAGGACCAGTGCATTTAACTATATATCGTAACAGTGACTTTCAGTGGCTGAAAATTGCAGATTTTGCATCTATGCACTATTCTAATCAACTGCCAGTTGTCTACCCAGGAGTGACTGTTGTTAGCGCGATGTCACAATGATTTGGTCTATTGGAGGTTCATGTGTTACATCTGAAATGTCTTTGTACAGGTCCATGGAAGCCCAGTGTTCAGACGCGATGGAGTAAACATCCACTCTGATGTGTTTATCTCTATAGCTCAGGCCGTCCTGGGAGGCACAGCCACAGCACAGGGCCTCCATGAAACCATCAGTATATTGGTAAGAAAGAAGGAGGGCTGCACCATATGGAGAATATACAGCATCACTCCCATATTCTACCCTCAGGATTATTATGCTCATTTAGAGGCTGTGGGTCTTTTTCTGTAACAATATGGTAATAATGTGATGTTCATTCAACTGCTAAATTAGGACCAGTTTCCTTTCATTCATTGTACCTGAATGAACGTACTTTCTGAGGTTTAGTGAAGTGAATTTAATCATGCACTGTGTTTAACTCGGCACTGTGCAGTTTAGTTTGCAGTGCTGATGCGTAAATGTATGGTTTCTGGATGCATCTACCAAGCACTACTTAGTCTCCAAACAAATTTCCTTACACAGAGATTCAGTAGAGCAATTTTCTGTTGTCTGTTCTCTGTCTCAAAGTCATCTGTGCTTTCAGATTCCTGCTGGCTGCCAGGCTGATCAGTTGATCCGGCTGCAGGGGAAAGGCATTCGGAGGATGAACAGCTACAGCTATGGAGATCACTACGTTCACATCAAAATCAGAGTGCCAAAGTAAGACTCGCATAGATATGCTATAAATGTAAAATGTCAGACCAGTCAGTAAGCCTAGTGTTTGATTAATATGACAAGTCTACATATTTTGGCAATTTCATTATTCATTCATTATATTTCTATATCTCTTGTTCCTGCAGGAAGTTGTCTCGTAGACAGCGCTCTCTGCTGCTGTCTTATGCCGAAGAGGAGACGGAAGTTCAGGGGACTGTCAACGGCGTCAATCGTTCTGCAGGTCAGGGTTAGTTCAGCTCCACCATTCAGTCAAAAAGGCTTTCCACACTAGTATGCGTAGACACAGATAGTCAGTCAGTCCCTGTGCACAGCAAAGGTGTCAGTAGTTGAGCTGATGCAGTGTGTGTTTGTGTCCAGGAGGGGGCAGCAGCACTTCAGGTTCTGGTGCGAAGTCGACCAGCTCAGAGGAGGGACAGGACAAGCAGCAGCAGCAGCAGCAGCAGCAGCAGGAAGGAGGAGGCTTCTTCTCTGAATTAAAGAAATTGTTCAGCTGACAGGCTGCAGGTGGGAGCTTCAAACTGTCACAGAACTTTTGACTTTTTCCTCGGCACCCTCAAATGCTGAAAGCATAAACATTGCATTCAGCAATACTATACAAATGGCAAATGGTCAGTACCCTCTCTGCTGTTGCATCTCAAGTCAGGCCAATTTATTTATAAAGCATATTTAAAAGCAACAGATATTGCCATCATAGGACTCTGTAGCTACCACTGAAGATGCCAAGATCATGACCTTGACACTGTTTCAGGGAATTACGCTGAGAAGGCATTTATATTCTGTAATTTGAGTTTTTTTAGCCAGGTTCAGATATTTTTAGATTAAAAATCCTCCACCAAAATGATATTCCTGATATTGAGGGAAAGGCTTTGTAACAGTATTTAAGATAAGACCCATCTTGCCATGAGAAACAGCTCCAGGTATATGTCAAACTTTGAACTTGCTTTCTTCCCTCTCCAGGTGGAAAATCCCAGTAAACATGCAAAAGGAAGAAAATAAATCCACTGACTGGGCCTCCATGCTGTCTCCTCTTGCTTTGGGGATTGAGCAAGGAGGAGGAAGAGAGAGGCAGTGTGGTATTTGTGTTGACACAGTCACACATTGTTGAAGCTGCAGTTGGCAAACAGGCCAGGTTGAAGCGAGGTCCACCCACACACCCACTGGCCCGTCACCACAGACAGGTGCTGAGCTGAGAAACTCAAGAACTGCTGGAAGATGAACAAGATGGTGACTACAGAAGACTATTGTGGTATAACTCCCCCCTACGTACTGCGTTTGGAGCTGCGCTGCTCTCTGAGTCACAATGTGCTCTACATACTATTTAATAAAACCAAGTGAATAGGACTTTGCTATGCACTTCATTTTAGTGTGCAGTCACCAAACAACTCAGTTAAAGGAATAAAACACACATCACATAGGATGCTAATTGGGTAAGTAACATAGTTGTATGGGTTTTAAAAAGGAAAAACAGATGAAGAGTCACTGGATGTTAAAACTTCCAAAATACACAAAATATCCGGTTCTGTGTAAAGCGTCAAGAATGGGAATTTGTAACTGTCAGGCTTAGCTGTTGCTACTCCGTATGATTTGTTGTACCTGTGTGGTAACAAAACTGCAAATGCACCATTAATAAAATGCAAAATCTTTAACCTTTCATTCATTCATTTCATACATGTTTTAACACCAACTTTTAACATTTATATTGTAATACTAAAAGTCAACAGCAGATGGTGAGGTAAGTCAGTAATTTCATCATTTGGCCTTGTACAGTATTACTCGGAGACTGTACAACTTCAACACACTGACCATTTGGTGTGTTCAGCCACCCACTTCCTCACTGTGTGCAGCGTCTGAACAGAAGCTTTAGTGAGGTGCTCTTCAGACAGGGGTTTTCCAACTGCTCACGCTCAAAGTGGTCAGCCTTCAGTAACAGGACTTGTGGTGCCTCCCAGGGCAAGTAATGACTTAATATGAAGTCACCGTTACACGTAGAACAGGCCGGTTTCTGTATTTTACATACATCCCCACAGTAAAATGTCTGTTCTCCTTAACATGTGGTTTTTAAATGCTAAAAAGGGATCCGTGTTTCTATGGCACTAGAAGAAATGTATCTGTTTTAGAGGCACATGCATGTTGCACATCCTCCCTGTGATAAGCATGTATCTGGACAGTTTAGCTGGATTCTTTCCGCAGCAGCACTACCTGGCCTTTACTACCGAGGAAGAAATAATACCTAATTCTACATTTATTATGATGGAAGCAGGGAGAAGAAATTTGTGTTCAATAATCTGTAAGAATATGGAGTTTTCTGGTTGCAGCTAAAAACCAAAAAATATTATATTATTATTATATGTATTTTTGAAAAGTGTTTCACCCTTCGTTGAAAATGTTTCTGACAGTGATTGCAGATTGTTTATAGAACGTTTTAAAGAAAGGTGATGTTTTTAAGAGACAAAAACATGTTTTTCATGCACATTACCAGAACAATTTGGGATGTAAGGCTTTACTCAATGTTTCCCTAATCCTCCCAAGATATCTGTACACAAATGCAGTTGATGAATAGGGCGAATGTATATGAAGAAGGTTATGTTTCTTGCTTCGATAAACATGTATGTGCAAAACCAGAAATAACTATTGGCAGGCCTTTGGTGAGTAGCCAATAAGACTTCAATAATAAGACATTTTACTCTCTGCAAAACCAGTTTCTGTAGTGACAGCCTTACGGGGTAATAACATTTACACCAGAATAGCATTTACTAATCATGATTTATGGTCATCAAAGTATGGTTATTTCAGAAAAGATTTTGGGCTGGACCACAGCAAAGCGGTGCCAGATGGGGGAGATTCCCCATTGGCCGTTGCTCCTTCAAAATGACTAGGTGCGAACAGTCCTGAAAGACATCCTCAGGAGGCTTCTACAGCGGTTCCACTCACTGACAAGTTCTCTTTCAAATCAAACATCTTAAGTTATGAATGGAAAGTATTGTTCTTGCAACAGCATTTATTACATTTCTCGACTCAAACGCAGCTTAACCATGTCATGTGATATGCTATTTCAGTACATTAAGAATCATTTTCACCACCACCACACACTGTAATTTAGCACATTGACCATACACTGTCCAGTCATGTTTTAACTTTTCTTGATGACGTTAGTACAGGGATTAGACACATTACAATGCCCAGTATTGTTGGTAGTTCATGGATGACAGGAGATTACAAATAAAGGAATTTACCATTCAGTAGGGAAGACGTGAAGCAGGAAGTACAAATCTAGCAGTTTATTCTAATTCTGTTTTGCATGTTTACTAGTAGATATGGTAAATATAGAAGATTAAATCAGTTACCAAGGGCCCAAACCAATGTTCAGACTTCATTTTGCTCTCTACTGATTCGGAAACGTTCTACTTTTCAAAATCAGTGTCTTAAAACACAATCTAATCAATGTTACACAGCAGATAAACTATTGATGGTTGACAGGTCATCTAGGGGGTGCAGCCATTTGAATACAGCTCAGCCTTCCAAGTGTGTAGGAGAAACCAAAGTGGCCGCAAAACTGGCGGAAAACACAAAAGGTCCTATCTAGAGCCAGGGTCTGGTTTGTCTGTGTTGTGCTACTGTAGAAACATTATGTACCAACGAAGTCAATGAAAGAGGACACGCTCCTTGCTTATATAAAATTGGCTCATTCTAAGGTAACTAACAATATATCCTACTCTGAACCTTTAATTAATTAATTTGGCTGGAAAATAGTAGTATAGTAAAATAATAGTTATAGTAAAAGAGTGTCCAGTTACTTTCTCCTTCCCTTTCTGGGAGCTACTAATTACCAACATTCCTTGTCATTCTGATGTCATCATAATTGTAAATCACTCTTGCTCACTTATTACGGTATGTCACAATGAATGGGTTGCCATATTCCATTTTAGTCATCCTTCGAAATCCTTTGAGGGTGGAAAACCGCTTCATTTTCAGGACCAAACCGAGGTTCCCCTTTATATTTTTCTTGAGGAAACAGAGGGGGGAAAAAAGGAGAACAAAGGATTCATGTGAGAAAGGATTTATTCTTAGTGTCTGTGCTTACATGTGAATATAAAAAGCATATTTCATCAATAACAGAGGAATAGGCCTACTTTTATTTAAGTGGTAATTTATCAGGAGCTTACAAGATGCTATTCACTTTAAACAGAAGGAAATCTGAAAGCACACATCGAAACATAATCATATAGAACAGAATTTAACTTAGATATATTAAACGTTTTTCAACAACATTTTGTAAATTAAATGTCTTTGTTACATAAGACATTTTTAAGCCTGCTGGTCACGTCATTCTGCAACTTGAAAACCTTCACAACAAGATCATGATGAAATGGACAGTAGACTTTAAAATGTATTAATTAATTAATCAAACCAGTTTCATTTCCTATCCTCCTCTCAAATTAAGGCTACGTTCACACTGCAAACCTTTGTGCTCAATTCAGATTTTATTCAGATCACTTTTTTTTTGTTGGTTTTGCTGTTCACTTTATTTTTTTTTTAAAAGTGGCCTTTATCACATACAACTGTGAAAAGGTCACAATCTAACCTGCATGATGAATGTCAGTCTACTGTGATGTAAAAGTCACATGAATTTCGATATGACTGTTGACACCGAGGTCACATTGCAAAAATCAGACCTGTATCTGATTTGGACCGCATATGAAAGAGGCCCAAATCAGAGTTGAAAAGATCAGATTCCATGTGATTTGTGCTGGTCATAGTGCTATGAAATCAGATTTGAGTTACATATGACCAACAAAATTAGATTTGGGTCACTTTGGCCTGCAATCTGAACATTGCCTAAATGACGGGTTGTGGGTGACATGATGCGCTGGGTGGTAATTATGACTTTATATTCTTAATTTATATTTTTGTAAGACTTATTTAAACAATAAACCATATTGTTGTCATACTTCGTGTATATGTGCAACCTGTTATAGGGCATGGGTTAGCACTGTGACCCTCATGATTTACACAATCAAAAGGTTTTTGTAATAATTTACAGTATAATGCACCTAAAGTATGTCAGTTATATTCAGTCACTATATACTGCCTGTTAGTTATTAAGATCTCCTGGTTGATACTATAGTTTGATGGAAACCTCCATGTGTTATATATCAGAGTGAAGACTTGAAGACATTCATGGGAGCAGGTTCAGCTTCTAATCTTATTGCTGTGTGTTTGAGCTTCATTCTCTGTAATCAACCTCAACATCTCTTTGATTCATTATAATACTTATCATTTACACAGTTAAACAAATAAAATATGTTATCCATATGTTCAGATATTCAGGCATGTACTGTGTGGATATGAAGTTTTTTAGGTCGCCTGTTCTATAGTGTAAGTTTAAACTTTAAACTTTAAAATGCACTTTTATTCAGTAACATTACGTAACAGTGTTTGATTTTTGTTCTTAATTGGTGTAGCCATGTGATAAGGCTGTAACAATTTTAAATTATTTTGATTTTTCGTTTTATTTAATTATATATATGTGTGTGTGTGTGTGTGTGTGTGTGTGTGTGTGTGTGTGTGTGTGTTTGTGTGTGTTCCTCTGAGGTTACAAAGAACCTTTGACAATTTTTGACTGATAAGACCCTTTCAAAACCAAGACTGGCACCAACCTAAAAACAAGTTCCTGAAAAGCTGACCGTTACATACAAGGCTTTCACTCAACAGATCGGCATTGAAATGGCTATACATTATGTAAAATGTTAAATGGGAACAGACAGATAACAAAAACCTTTACAACATGATTAAGTGACAGATTTTGTCCTAGACAGCCAGACTTTACCTATAAAAGGCAATTAAATGTTGGACAGAACTACCAACTTAAAGACATTATTTGACCTTGTCCGGTCATAAAGGCAGAAACCCATATAGACCCTCAGCTATACAAACAGATAAAAGCTTTCCTCTGCCAGTCACATGTGACTGACAGCTGGTTGCTGGGAGTAACTGGGAAAAGTAAGTAGGCATCAGGGGGAGTGATAATAGACTTTCTCCTTTAGCATTACAGTACAAACAGCCTCATATCTTCTCACGGGTCAGCACAAAAAGGTTAAAAGCAGAGTGTGGGGGGTAATTGGAGTTGTAGGGTGCTCTTGTGTCACTATTGCAGGCTGATGGATAATTATATTTTCAAGAATGCTGTCTGTGTGGGCAAAAAGACAGTGATTGACTGAGAGCACATCTAAGTTGCCTGTTTGTGACAGGAAGCAATGCTTGCATTAGAGAGAAGGACTATAGAAGTCTCAAAGCTGGTGACAGATAGTGTGTGAGATTTAGTACCCACCATGCCTGGAAGCAACCCATCCTAAGCCTGGTTTACCAGGATTATTCACTGGTGCTGTTGGTCTGTCCACTGGGAACATGGGTTTGTTTTATGTGGAGAGCATTAAGCCTGGGATTTGTCGGTTACGTTCCCACTGGGTTGGCTGAATCTTGAGGAGGACACTTGAGGTTATAGATGGGGCCCTAAGGCTCCTTGTCCCTGGAGGGAAATGAGGCTGCTGCTCATACCTGAATGGCAAATAATCCTTTTAACAAGTGGATCACACACAAACTGGAAACTCTGCACACAGGATTTTTTATCAAGATGTACAGAACACAT